ACAGAGGTTCACAGAGGACCACAGAGGTTCACAGAGGTTCACAGAGGTTCACAGAGGACCACAGACAGTGAGCAGCTGCTGAACAAAACACGAAATGAACCTTTAGATTGAACAGAAGCAGGTGATCAGTTCACCGAACGGCACCGCGGTCATTTACACTCAACAACATTAAAACTCTGGTTTTAGACCCATCAGAGCCCGTTAACCTGGTGTAGATCCCCCCCCCCCCCAGACGGGTGAATGACCTGAGGACGTCGTAGCCCAGGAACTCGAAGAGTCGACACATGCTGTCGCCGATGATGGTGGAGCGGAGGTGGCCGACGTGCATCTCTTTGGCGATGTTGGGAGAGGAGAAGTCCACGACCACCTGAGAAACCAAACGAAGCACAACGGATGAACGGAGACGTCCCAGGAAGAGAAGACGTCTGCAGGGACGAGCGCAGCGCACGTCTGAAATCAGAGTCTTCGGCCACGTTTGTTGTTTGAAACGAACCTTTTTCCTCGAGGCGAGCGGCGGCGGCTGAACGCCGTTCATCAGCAGGTTGTTCAGCAGTTTGGACACGAACGACTTCTTCAGGTGGACGTTGATGAATCCTGGAAACACAAAACGTCGGAGCAACGCCGAGACCAAACAACAAAAACAATCGTGTACGTGAAATTAGACGACGACGCCGTTTAAAATACGACTGAACAGGAAATAAAACTCGCTTCTAAAGTTATTTACAGCTGAATATTTCTCATCAATAATCAATGAAGTGATCATTTTTAATAACGAAAAACAAAACTATAAATAAGATTTTTTAAAAGCACCAAACGTCATTGCTGTTTCTGAAACAGATTAGTTTGTGTTCTTAGCTTTTCTAGTTTATGCAAATATTTAGCCTAAAAAACATTTTATATAGAAAATTTAATTTATAAAAGAAAAAAAATAATAATAAACAGGAACACAAACAGAAAACTTGTGAACAACAATAAGATAAAAGAACAACAACAAACAAAGAACACACGTAAAAAATAAATACAAAAAATGTAAAAATAAAAATAAAAAAATAAAAAAAATTTCAGAAACAAGAAAAATAACGTGTCAAAAATATTTAAAATAATTTAACAACTTCATTCTCGTTTAGACTAAAAATACTGAGGAAAATTCATTCAATATAAAATTTTTGACCAATTTAAATACAAAGACACAATAATTTAATTTTAATATTTTAAATTCATCAAAAAAGTTTGTATAATAAATATATATATATATATATATATATATATATATATATATATATATATATATATATATATATGTTTTTATAATTTGTTAATGGTAAATTAATGGATTTAATGAACCAAACATTTCTGTGGTTCCCAACGCTGGTCCCTGAGGAACACCATCCTGTATGTCAACACACCTGATTCAAAGTTAATTACTTCAAGTTCTGAGAAGCCTGTTAATCACCCACTGATTAAAATCAGGTGTGTCGGAGCAGGGAAACAACTAAAACATGCAGGATGGTGTTCCTCAAGGACCAGAGTTTGGAACCATTGGCATTTTAAACGAGTACTACCGTACAGTCTGGACTTTAAGTCACACTTTTGTCATAGTTTGGTCAGTCCTGCGACGTACGGTCCCAAGTGACTTATACACGTTTTTCTTTCCTATTCATGACGCGGTTTTGACTGACACGTTAAAAGTAAAAAAAAAAAAATCTGTACGACTTTTTATAACCGTCTGTTGTTGTTGCTGTTGTCATCGTTCTTTGTTAAATCAGGTCTCTCTTGTATCCGAGTCCTCGAGGCTCAATGCGATTTACCTGTTTAAATAAAGGTTGAATGAAAAAATGTTCACTCATACAGACATCAGTGTTTCCACGAGTTAAGTTACCACGGCAGGTGCTCATCTCATCCATGAGTGTTGTTGGGGGGGGGACGGAGACGTGTCTGACGGGAGGGACGGAGACGTGTCTGACGGGAGGGACGGAGACG